TACCCCTCGGTCTAATTTGTTGCTGGGTATAGCCGTGTGTATACCAGGGACAAAAAGAACAAAAAGAAACAACTATACTTGCACCTGAACGAAAACTGGATATTCAATTTATCTGAGTGTGTTATATAACAAGTCAAATGAAAAAGACAGTGTAGTCGGCCACCCTCCACAAAAAATTAACATGAACCTGATTCTGGTTTTCTCACATCAGTTTCTGAAGTTTCTATTCAAGGCATGTCAAGACGCAGGTGCAATCCTGTATGGGCTTTGGCAGTGTATTCTTCTTGTCATGGTTGATGGCAATAGAACCAAATGCGAGGTTACAACAGAAAGTGGACTGCATCAGGTGTCAGAGAGACCAGTATACATTATCTTTATTCACGAAAGGGCCTACAAATCTGTTATAATTCCACGGAACCAAATTTGGTAGTATCAAGGGATCTGCTCGTCATCAACAAGTTTCCACACCAACCAATAAACAAGTGACATATAAACAGTACGAACAAAGTGTTGTCCGGTCACCTGCACACCTCTTCGGCCAGCTCTCTCTCATTGGCTAACGATTATGTGACCCTGCAAAATTCAACCATGGATCAACTGATACCGCTAGAGGAAGTGGAGCGACAAGTTGATTGTTGGCAATGTCTTACGTTGATACCCTGACGAAGCATGCTCATACATAATAAAGGACTGAGCATTTAGTGGGACATATCAGACGGCGCTGCTGGTCAGCCAGAGATATCCCAATTTTAGAACTGCTTCACTTGGACTCAAGGTTTTCAGCAAACTTCATCGTGAAACAGCATCCAACCATGACGGGAGTTACACTGCTTTTAACAGCACTGCTGGTCGGTGCTGTTACCATAGTTTACTCGAGACCCATCGAGAATGCGCAAGACGCAATGGTAATTATGAAATAAGATTTATTCCTTATGTTTAAAGATGATTTCCTCCATGTAAGTTAGTTGCTTTTGAAAAGTAAGGAGCATAGCTTTGATCAGAGCTAAAGTGTGTATGAAGCGCAAAGACCTAACTACGTTGGAGTCCAAGGCCAGCGCATATGGGCTTTGGGGAATTTCTAGATGTTTTGAGGTGTGATCTGAGGCAGTTTCTGACCACTTATACTTATCTTTTCAGCACATGCTTTGCAAGATTTATCTCATATTTCAAATATTTTTATCTGAAATATGAATCGAATGTGGGCCTTCATTTCTAAGGACAAATGATATAGTATCCACATGCCCCCCGGTCTCCCACCAATTGACGAGCATAGTTTGCTTTCATTATTGATGGGAGCATGGTTTTCTGCTAAATGTGGACCCTGCACATTAATTCACTAGGGGCGCGAATGGAAACCCTAAGCTTGGAATACTCCCATCCGACAGTTTTTATTCATTTTCTCCTTTAAATTTCTGCGTTTAGCAAATCATCGGTGCAGTTTTGCCTCAAGGCCATCTTGCATATTAAATCTTAATAATTTGCGAACGAGCGTCTACATGTATAATATCCAAGAATATTTGCTATCAATAATACAAACAAAATGTCTCTTGACTTTCACATTTTGGCTAATTGGCCTCCGCAAGCTCAATGACGTAGAAAAACGCCGCCAACACATCAATGCAGAAGCGCGTTCAATAATGGAAAACGTGTGGTGGTGTTGGCATATCTTTCATCGTTGATACGCATACATTGTGCATAGTATCCACCTAGAGCAGAAGCACCCCCTCATCTGTTGAAAGAGCCGTGTCAGTGGTTAGTTTTCTTTCCTTCCCCCTCCCCGTAATGCGTACATTTCATAGTCGTTTGTGAACCAGCGAAGTGCAGTTCCCATCAAAGGGGCTTCCGTTATTGGAATACTGCGCCTTCTTTTTGTCTAGCTCGGGGCGGATTGTATTGGTGAAAGCGCCCCATCCCCACGTACAATGTACTTCAATGCACCCAAAACTATAGAAGAGCACTCATCCAGCATTGCTGAGCAACCTATGACACTCCAGTGGCGTATCCAGATCTCTTTTACGGATGGACACTGAATTGGAAGTTCTATTTAGAAAAAAAATCCCATTCCCTTCCCGCATGCTGAAATTTGACCAAATTTACCTCGTTTTCAAATTATTTATTTTATTTCATTTTATCCCGACCCCTTTCTATAGCCACGCTACTGCCCCCAGCCCCGCCGTCAGTTCCATATTCCAACAGCACATGTAAACAAAGGTTATTTGTACGCGTGTACAAAGTCTGGAAATAGATAGGGCCGGTGTTACGGCCAATAATGTGACGATCGGTCAATAACGTAATACATGTAACTATCGACCGATAATGTAATAACCCAAGCGACCCAAAATGTAATAAAAATCGGCCTATAATGTAATAACCCCAAACCGGCAGATGATGTAATAACATGGAGGCCGATAATGTAATAACTGTAGGTTTGCTTGTCTCATAGGTTTTGGGGGACTTAGGTTTTCTTCAAGTTTTCCCTGCAGATCCCTCTTATACTAAAGAAAGCTCAAAAACAATTAGCTATGCGTACATGAGAACAATTCAGAATATAATTAGGTGGAAAAGGAGTAGCTTGAGCCAGAACGAGATTTTGGCAGGTATGGGCAAGGATATTTTTCACTTTCATCTATTTTCGAGGTTAGTGCCTAGGAATCACAGTAACTGAGAGTTAGGATGCTGGCCTGCTAGGGACACTCAGGCTTACTTCTTAGGGAATATTATTATATTCATTCTGACGTGATGAGCTCCTCATTAAATTGAGCCAGTGTTCGTATATGGCACAACAGTTTCCCTCTACCCGCAAAGTTTCAAGCCAGTCGGATATGCACTTCGGAAGAGGAGGTCAGTTTTCGTCTATAACATATCCCTTTTGCGATATCTGCAAAGTCTTTACCCAACTTGACACGTTTTTTAGAAAATAGATAGGGCTTTGAAGGAAGCACCTTCCATGTCACGTGATTTGTCAACTGATGACGTCATCATGACTTGATGTCAGTTTTCGTCCTCAACACTTCCCTTTCTAGCTACATGTATTTGCAAAATGTCAACCCAGTGGGACATGTAATTAAAGAGATACATGCATAGACCTTTGAAGTTTGCACATTAAATGCCAATCAAGCCCAATGGTAGACTTTGATCAAGGCGCCTGCGGCGAAATGGATAGTCTCTCAAGAGCGAGGAGCTGGCGGAGACTAGTTAAAGCACCAAACCAACGCACTAAGAAAGACTACACGCCGAACCGCACGCACGCCCCGCACGCCTTTGGAGTTCTGCCCAAAGATCGTATAGCGCCGCGAAGCGGCGCAAGACAGCGAACTTCACAGTGAATACACGTAAAACGTTGTAATTGCATGGGCGCCATTTGAGCAAGTGATACGCCTGCGCAATGCACAATAATGCGCAGGCGCCACGGCAGACACCTGCACCTGGTGAGCCTGCGCCTAAGCACAATCGTAAACTGCGCAGGTGTATCGCTTGCTCAAATGGCGCCCATGGCAATTACACAGAGAGAGTTACAGATTACAGAGTTATCCATCTTGCGCCTTCGGCGATATACGATCTTTGGTTCTGCCCCACGTAGCTTATGTTTTTCTTTACATTTGCTACTTTTTCGGTTGAAGATACGATATATGCGTATGCATAAGTCTCCACCAATCAAAACTATCGCCTCTGTCGCGCACGTAATAAATTATTCATCATTACAATGGCGTGCGCATTCAACACGGCGTCCTTTCCCGCCATTTGAAGCAAGACATGGGACGGAGAGAACCCCCCCCCACCTTTATGTTGGTCATTGTTTGATCGGAATCTCAGGAATTCTTTACAGACTTCTAGGGGTATGTGTTAGGTAACAATAGTCTAGAATGTGTATAGGCATTGGACAGGTAAGGGGTATACTCCTCCGTCCCATATCTTGCCTGGTTTTTTGCCCGCAGTGGTGTAAGCTCTAGACGACAATGCCTCAAATATGCAGCACCGAAGCTTGGGATTCCAATCGACAAATTGAAACCACAGCAGATGTTGGCCGTGAAGGCTGTTCTAAGCGTGGACGTGTATAAAAAATCTGGAATCGCAATGCCCTTAATCAGCTTATAGAGATCATTAAATCCACTAGCGGCCATTTTACCGAGCCGAATACAAAGCTTGCCCGGCAATGCCGCCTTTGTTCTCCCTGGCGTCAATAGAAGCGAGCCAACCTGCGCATTTGTATTCGACTCGGTAAAATGGCCGCTGGTTGGCTTCTTTTCTATACAAAGGCGTTGCAAGTCCAGGTTTTTTATATATACGTCCGTGGTTCTAGGGGGTCAAGACGTATTTGTCAATCTTCCAACGGGATATGGCAAAAGTTTCAAATACCAGGCCGCACCGTTGTGCAGCGACTTTAAGAACGTAAGTAGCCTAGAATTACCCGGACAGCTCAGCCCCCAAAACACGATTGGTTCAGAGAAATGTGAATAATTCATAAATTAGCAATTGAATATTTCAGATCAACCACTGGAAACAAAGCTCCAAAGGCGATTGCGGCGGCGCGCACAGTCCACGACACACACAGCTCGGCTAATGCATGCGCATGCGTGGTTAATTTCGGGCTTGCATGTTGTTGGTCGTGTAGTCCTTACTATCCATTTCGCCACGGGCGCCTTGATCAACGGCTAGCCCAATGGGTAACTGTGCATGGTAATTGAAATCACCTCAACACTATAAAAGAACAAGATTTATGCAAAGAGGTCACCATAATTCATCTGAGTAGTATATACACCTTAGGAAAAGATTACGTCCATGCTCTGTTATAATTTGATGACCAAAAAAAAATTGAAACATTGTCACATTGTCAAAAAGGACTTGATCCGCAACGTTGGAGACGTCATTTTAAGCACGTGGAGGAAATGCAATAGAGCCTGAAAGTGAACCCCTGATCGCTTCTGGAACCCTTGGATATAGGAAAAATAACGTGCAAAGATTTTATAATTTGTAATGTTTTTCGTTCAGATACTTCTTAAAGAATCCGACTCGAAAAAGGGGCTTTGGAAAATATTTGCTTGAATATAAACTTACAGAAACTTAAAAATCACCTGGCCTAAAAGAGATATATGCAGCCAAAAAACTGACAGATCAATTCCGAAAATCTAAAATACATGAAGAGTGCAATGAGGCTGTCTCGTACGTAGACGAACATTTACGGTTTGAAATTTTAAGGTGGTCTGTGGGTAAAAGCCGAAATAAAAACAGATCAAAAAAACACCATTAAAATTTAAAAGTAATAAACTGGAAGCAACATTCTACTTCAATTACGAAATATTCTAATCTTTTATCTAACCTTTGCTCAAAATAACTGCGTGATGTCAACTCAACGGAATCTGGAACCCATCGACTACAGGTTGGTAAATCTTTGCAACGTTGTACAATCTCGTTTTCACGTAAGTGCGGGCAGTGAAAACAAACGTGCATGAACATGGAGACCTAGGTACGATATCGCTGGAAGTGAAAGGTCGTTCAGAAAATTTGTTTTTTACCCATTTCCAGGTAATGCTTCCTAAACATTACTTGAAGAAAAAAAGATAAAATTCCAACATGAGTGTCTCATGAGGAGGTTTCATTTAGGAATTATTCTTCCAAAATTATCGAACGTGATATGACGGCTCAACGTAAAATCCCTATGGGCGGACCGCGCGAAGGTTCCGGAAGCTCGCTGCGTGACCTTTTACTTTCAAGCTCTATTGAAATCAGTTATCACACGAGCGCGAGCAAAGCACAGAATAATTTAGTGCGTCCATAAGTGTATGATTTTCCTTTCCTGTACACACATGTATACATTTGACTCAAGCGAAAACAAAAACCTAATTCCCCAAGCGCCAAATTTTGTTGCCACGTTTATAATGTTCATTTTTATTTTTAATTTTTTTTTGCCAGGGTATCAAACGACAAAAATTCACTTGTCAAAAAGACAAATTTTCAGTGCTCTGATGAGATTCGAACAGGTTCCGGCTAGTCTAAGTTTGTCTAGTTTGGCGTCACGATGACTCGTCCGGTATCAAAGTTAAAAAAATTTCCAATTTCTATCCGTTGTATCTTATGAACATGCAGAGAAGACGTTCATGTGTTGGAATATGTTGAAAGATCCTGAGTTGGGCAACAATGTGGTTTGGGTGTCGAAGTCATTTGACCTTGGTTTCTGGGGTTAGGTTAGCTCATTTAAAATGCTTAAATACAACGGTCAAAATCTTCCAAACAGTTTAATATAGAATTAAAGCTTCATCCTAACATAAACCTTGATGTCGAGATATTATTAGGTATTAAATAGCAAGTTCTTTAAGGTCAAAAGTAATAACATTTCAACTGTGACGTTTGAATGTTCATATTTAGAAGCCTGGTGGACCATATCTGGGGCAACATTACTGATTGCAACGGCAAGTCAAGTAATCTCGACCTACGGGTATATACACCTGTAGAAAATCTAATGATATAGGAGTGAAATTCATAAACGGAAGGATTTTCCTACACTGCGTAACCAAATAGAAGGCGACAAAAGCTTTAAACTGCGTCATAAATATAACCTAAATCGAGTTCATTCGTAATAAGGTTCCATGGCCTAAGTTTATGATGTTACTTTCGAACGAAATGGAAATTAATCGAATTTTACAACAGCCAAACAAAACTCTCGTTATGTGCCTGAACCAGAAGTGGTCTTTGTAGGCTAAAATACCGTGTTATAGATGTTAGTCGCTGACAATTATTTAGGCCTTTGCACTATAAAATATCCTTGATTATTCCTTCGGTAGATTTACTCAGCATCTATACTTCGTTATAAAGCTTGTAACAATAGTTCGCCAGTAGTACAGTTCCCCGGGTAATGCAAATAAATGTATGCCTCTGGGAACTGTGAAAATCACGTTTTGAATGGAAGGTATTTTCGTATTATTTCGACAGACGTACTTAAACTTCTATGGCTACATGAACCAACAGCCAAGTGACGGCAGTGTTCCAGATGAGGAGGAGATGAAACAGGCAATCCTTAAATTTCAATACATGGCAAACTTGACGCAAACTGGTACGTGAAGATGATGTGTGAAGATTTCTTTTCAAACACCTTCAACACATCTGTTGTGGTTAATTTCAACATATCGTTATTTTGCCAACAATTATACTTGTTTAACACACCGTAGCCGACAAATCAACATAGCCTAATAGCAAAATCACGGATTGGTAATATGGACGGCCTTGTCTACAATTTCCCTTATTCATAACATTTGGGAACTAAATAAGATATGTTGATCTTCCATTTCCCTGTCAAATTTTAGCTCATGACAACCAAACCTTTATCCAACATAGCACAATTTTGAATAGCCGTCGATGCAAACCATCCTTCCCTTAAACGTGCAAACTTGTGCCACATGTTGAGTTTTGTGTACGTATGAACATGTTCCTAGATGCCTTCAGCAAAACACGGTTACGAAACGTTCAATGCATCAATCATACCTTGGACAACCCCGAAGAAGTTGGTTGAACTTTCTCTTATCGAGTCTCCTTGAAAAAACCTCTATAGGCCTACTTGTTATTTTGGTACGTACAATGGAATCCCTCGAACTAAACTATCTGACTATGCTTCCATTTTTCTTTTTGATGCTATTCCTGTTGGTTTCCTCTTCATTATTTATAATGTAAAATTAATTTACATGACTTGACGACGAGCAACATTTCATATCTCAGATATTCAATTTTGCTCCAACAATGGTACAAAAAAGCTACAAATTTTGCGTTTTTGTGTGTTAAAAGTTATGAACTTTTCATCGATGGAAGACCAGGAGGTGATCTGTGAATTACGTAATACCCTGATAGACCAGGAAGCAGACCCAAGACGAACTACATCCTTGCCAGTGTTGGCCATTATCTATGCGCAACATCTGTTCATGGGTTGAAGCCATGTCGTTTTCCCTGGCAAATTAACAATTCGTTTTGTTTTACGACTGTCGTGCTCTGTCCGAAATTACTCACATACCGATCTTTTTAATGAAAAACCTTTCAATGATCAATATTTCGCTGTACACTGGTTGCCCTGCGAGTGACATTTGGCCTGTTCAATCACACCGTGTACGTTTTTGTGTGGCCAGTTGTCACAGCATAACTAGCACAAAGCCGAAAAGGTTAGAGGCCGTCTGTGAAGTGCGTACGCACAAAATGCTGATCGACTTTTCAGATCCCCTCCCCCTGTACGCATGGCGTACGCATACGCATTCCACAGATCTTTTGACTTCTCTGGGTACCTTGCTTTAGCATCATTAAATTTCACAATACATGTACATTGAATAGCTACTGATGTGTACTGTTATATACTTCCGCATGGGTAACAGCACCTGTACGTTGATATGATGAAGATTCATTAAAGGCAAATATCGGTTTGCGTACGGTATGCACTGGCTTGAACCTCCCCACCTCCTCTGTACGCATGGTGTAGGCAACGGCACCAACCTCCTTCCCCCTCTGTACGCATGGTGTACGCAG